TTGAGCAAGGCACTTAACCCTAATTGCTCCTGTAAGTCGCTCTGGATAAGAGCGTCTGCTAAATGACTAAAATGTAAAATGTAATAGATGTATTTATACTAGACTATACCTGGTCTTTGCCTTGGAACTTCACGGCCGGTCCAAGCTGCAGTAGACACAGTTATACTGGAGTAGTTACCTGGTCTTTAACCTCTTCAACACAGTTATCCTGGAGTAGTTACCTGGTCTTTAACCTCTTCAACACAGTTATCCTGGAGTAGTTACCTGGTCTTTAACCTCTTCAACACAGTTATCCTGGAGTAGTTACCTGGTCTTTAACCTCTTCAACACAGTTATCCTGGAGTAGCTACCTGGTCTTTAACCTCTTCAACACAGTTATACTGGAGTAGTTACCTGGTCTTTAACCTCTTCAACACAGTTATCCTGGAGTAGTTACCTGGTCTTTTAACCTCTTTAACACAGTTATCCTGGAGTAGTTACCTGGTCTTTAACCTCTTCAACACAGTTATACTGGAGTAGTTACCTGGTCTTCAACACAGTTATACTGGAGTAGCTACCTGGTCTTTAACCTCTTCAACACAGTTATCCTGGAGTAGTTACCTGGTCTTTATCCTGGAGTAGCTACCTGGTCTTTAACCTCTTCAACACAGTTATCCTGGAGTAGTTACCTGGTCTTTAACCTCTTCAACACAGTTATCCTGGAGTAGTTACCTGGTCTTTAACCTCTTCAACACAGTTATCCTGGAGTAGTTACCTGGTCTTTAACCTCTTCAACACAGTTATCCTGGAGTAGCTACCTGGTCTTTAACCTCTTCAACACAGTTATCCTGGAGTAGCTACCTGGTCTTCAACACAGTTATACTGGAGTAGTTACCTGGTCTTTAAACCTCTTCAACACAGTTATCCTGTAGTAGTTTACCTGGTCTTTAACCTCTTCACACAGTTATCCTGGAGTAGCTACCTGGTCTTCAACACAGTTATCCTGGAGTAGTTACCCGGTCTTTAACCTTCAACACGTTATCCTGGGGTTTGTTCTGTCTTTAACCTCTTCAACACAGTTATCCTGGAATAGTTTTACCTGGTCTTTAAACCTCTTCACACACAGTTACCTGGAGTATTACCTGGTCTTTAACCTCTTCAAACAGTTATCCTGGAGTAGCTACCTGGTCTTTAACCTCTTCAACACATTTATCCTGGAGTAGTTTCCTGGGGCTTTAACATCTTCAACAGTTATCCTGGAAATAGTTACCTGGTCTTTAACCTCTTCAAAACAGTTATCCTGGAGTACTACCTGGTCTTTAACCTCTTCAACACAGTTAACTGGAGTAGCTACCTGTCTTTAACCTTTACCTGGAGTAGTACCTGGTACCTTTAACACAGTTACTGGAGTACTCCCTGGTCTTCAACCCTTCAACCAGTTATCCTGGAGTAGTACCTGGTCTTTAACACAGTTATCCTGGAGTAGTTACCTGGTCTTTAACCTCTTCAACACAGTTATCCTGGAGTAGTTACCTGGTCTTTAACATCTTCAACACAGTTATACTGGCTACCTGGTCTTTAACCTCTTCAACGACGGGGCAACATTTAGATTTCATGAGTTGGCCTTAAAACAATAACTCGTAAATGTTGCACAGTTTTAGAAATGTCTGGAATTCACCTTTTTAGCTAAAGTAGTTCTGCATTGCTGAGGTCACTTTCAAGGACAGAGTACAAATACTATGAAAATATGAAATATATGATTTTTTTTCTCTATTCAACAAAAGTGGGGCAATAGGGCTTGAACTGACTGAAATGTTGTTGTTTTATGTAGTAACAATCAAATTAAAAACGACTTTAAGATTTCACCTTTCTTATAACTGTAAAAATAAATATGATCATACTTAGTGACAGTACAATATTAGCACTATTTCATAACTGACGAGAAATAATTGTCTAAACGTCCACTGAGCACAAGACACCATTCAAATGTGAGCAGACTTGTTACAACTTCAGCTTTAAGCACAAAGTCATTTTGTCCGTCTCTAAGAGAAAGGGGTCTTGTTTACGTTCTAGGTAATATTTTAGTATTTTTTTCGATGTTGTGAGCTCCAAGTCTGGCTGAGAATATCACGTGATGAAACCATTATGGTTGGACTCGCTAGACTGTCACCTTTCATTTGCCGTCACCCTTGGCTGGGCTCACCTGCACAGAGGAAGAGAAAATCTATTCTTTGTCTGGATAGGCCAGAAAATGTGATGACACACCCCATGCAAATCTGGCTTCTGAAACCTGACACTTCAAGTCAGCTCAGCTGAGAGAGTGGAAGCAGAGAGCAGACAGATGGTGCTTTCTGGCACTATAAGGCAACAGGACCCTACGGCATTCACACAGCGCTTTGTACACCTAAATGTCAGTCGGGAACCTGTCCAGAACCGCTCAAAGTTGTGCATATAGTGGACTTAACATCTTTAATTGATGTATTTGTACTAGAAGCTATACCTGGTCTTTGTCTTGGAACTTCTCCACCGGTCCAAACTGCAGCAGCCCCATGTAAATCAGACGCTGCATACTGTCATGGAAACTAAAGATGTACTTCCTGGTGACAGATATAAACAGGAAATACATCATCAACACTTCCTGTTATGGCTTCTTCTGATTGGACGATACAAAGAGGATCTTTACGTGACAGTTTGTAATTGGGCGACTGAAATAAACGAACAAATCATACACTTCACGCCTTTTTGTGGGTATTTAACAAGTTTGTGTGCTACCGTTTGTGCAGTAGTTGGGTCTTCATCCTAGAAGGCAGGAACCTGATGAGGTAGTGCTGCTTCACTGGGTCGTTCAGATACTCCTCCAAACCATCCACCTAACACACAGAGAGAGAGAGAGAAACACACACAGAGAGAGAGAGAGAGAGAGAGAGAGAGAGAGAGAGAGAGAAGAAACACACACGAGAGAGAGAGAAACAGAAGAGAGAGAGAAAAACAAGAGAGAGAGAGAGAGAGAGAGAGAAAGAGAGAGATGAGAGATAGAGAGAGAGAGAGAGAAGAGAGAGAGAGAGAGAGAACACACAGAGAGAGAGAGAGAGACACACAGAAACAGAGAGAGAGAGAAACACAGAGAGAGAGAGAAACACAGAGAGAGAGAGACAGAGAGAGAAACACAGAGAGAGAGAGAAACACAGAGAGAGAGACAGAGAGAGATTGAAAAACACAGAGAGAGAGAGAGAGAAACACACAGATTAAGTAAGAGGTCTCTCACTACTGTTTGAAAAATATTTGTGTGTGTGAGAGTGTGTGTGCGTAGTGTGCAGCCGGTGTGTGTGTGTGTACCTTGAAGGATATCTGTATAATCTGAACGTAGATAGAGAGAGGCAGACAGAGCACAACATCAGAGGTCAGGGCCCAGCCTGGACCAAAGTCTCTGTGGACCGGAGCAGGGGGGATATATCGCCTCCAAGACAACTCATCTACATAGACTAGAGGGAGGCGAGGAGGGGAGAGACGAGAGAGGGGGAGAGACGAGAGAGGGGGAGAGACGAGAGAGGGGGAGAGGGGAGAGACGAGAGAGGGGGGAGAGACGAGAGAGGGGGAGAGACGAGAGAGAGAGAAAGTAAGCACCCAGAAACCCCCACAGTACACTACACAGAGAAGGTTCAACTTTGGATTTGAGATCAAATGTTTTATATGAGGCGACAGTACAGAATATCTCCTTTTATTTGAGGCTATTTTCATACATATCTGTTTTACCGTTTACAAATTAAAGCACTTTAATGTATGCAGTCCCCCCATTTAAAGGTGCCATGGGGATTTGGACAAATTCACTTATTGCATTAAATTTAGTAAAAATATTTAGTTTCTGGTCCCATATTCCCAGCACGCAATGACGACATCAAGCTTGTGACTCTACAAACTTGTTGGATGCATTTGCTGCTTGTTTTGGTTGTGTTTTGGATCATGTTGGTAAATAATGAATGGTAAATAATGTACTGTGTCATTTTGGAGTCACTTTTATTGTAAATAAGAATAGAAAGTGTTTCTAAACACTTCTACATTAATGTGGATAATCCTGAATAAAAGCTCACGGCTCCAAAACATGCTAACCTCTTACTGTTCCCCAATAACAGGGGAGGTTAGCATGCTAACCCCTTACTGTTCCCCAATAACAGGGGAGGTTAGCATGCTAACCCCTTACTGTTCCCCAATAAGAGGGGAGGTTAGCATGCTAACCCCTTACTGTTCCCCAATAACAGGGGAGGTTAGCATGCTAACCCCTTACTGTTCCCCATAACAGGGGAGGTTAGCATGCTAACCCCTTACTGTTCCCCAATAACAGGGGAGGTTAGCATGCTAACCCCTTACTGTTCCCCAATAACAGGGGAGGTTAGCATGCTAACCCCTTACTGTTCCCCAATAACAGGGGAGGTTAGCATGCTAACCCCTTACTGTTCCCCATAACAGGGGAGGTTAGCATGCTAACCCCTTACTGTTCCCCATAACAGGGGAGGTTAGCATGCTAACCCCTTACTGTTCCCCAATAACAGGGGAGGTTAGCATGCTAACCCCTTACTATTCCCCATAACAGGGGAGGTTAGCATGCTAACCCCTTACTGTTTCCCAATAACAGGGGAGGTTAACATGCTAACCCCTTACTGTTCCCCAATAACAGGGGAGGTTAGCATGCTAACCCCTTACTGTTCCCCAATAACAGGGGAGGTTAACATGCTAACCCCTTACTGTTCCCCAATAACAGGGGAGGTTAGCATTTATTCACATATTTCTCAGGAAATGTACCTTTCATGTTAGGGTCGTGTCCGACATCCGTCAGATTGGTCACCTCCTGCCCTTCCTCGGCCAATGATGACATCACTTCCGGGTCAGAGGTCAGGCCTGGCTGGCCCTCTGTGGAGGCGGGGTCTCTTATTTCAGAATTGTCAACGGTTGGGTTCTGGGTGTCGGGGAGGTCCGAGTTTTGGGGATTTGGGGTGTCTGTGTTTTGGGGATTTGGGGTGTCTGTATTTTGGGGGCTTGGGGTGGTGAGGTCTGTGTGTTCAGAGCTAGAAGGACGGGCGTTGTCAGTGTGTGTAGTTTGGGGTTGTGAGGGGTTGTTGGCAGCGTTAACAGGGTTCCTGGGGGTGGGGGTGGTGGGGTAGGTAGTCTGGACACTAGGGTTGTCAGTGGGGAGGACGATAGAGCTGGAGGTGGTGTGGAAGTCCAGGGAAGCGGTGGTGGGGCTGTGTCTCAGGGGGTGTCCGTAGGTCAGATACCTAGGAGGACATTTGATCAATGATAAATATGACTGCTTTGCTTTACCTTGGCCAGGTCGCAGTTGTAAATGAGAACTTGTTCTCAACTGGCTTACCTGGTTAAATAAAGGTAAAATAAATAAATATGATTTTAACAGGTGTTTCTCTGACTATTTTGTAACTGAACAGCCTTACGTTGCCCAATATACACTGTGTGGCATGAAATCCTATTTTTGCTAGAACAATAAATTCAATTCAATTAAAAAAGACTATTTATCCCACAAGGGAAAAACCTGTTGCTTGACTCTGCCACTTTTGGAGTTAGTTTAAGGGTGATGTTGGTACGTACCACAGGAAGGTGTGTGTCAGTCTCAGACGAGGCATCTTAGGCTGGAACCCCAACGTCTTGCTCAGACCTGGGACTGAGAGAGAGGAGAGAGGAGGAGAGGAGCAGAGGAGAGAGGAGAGAGGACATGAGAGGAGAGAGGGGGGGGGAGAGGAGGAGGAGAGGTATGGAGAGGGGAGAGAGAGGGGAGAGAGATGGAGGAGATGAGGGAGGAGAGGAGGGGAGAGAGAGACTTTCAGCTACTAAACACCCCTTTCCCTGGTAGCGGGTTTAAAAATCACACCCCAATTTCCCTATTAAAGGTTTTGGGAAGTTCCCAGTTCTTTCTTTTGGTTTGGCCGGGCCTTTGGGTCTTTGTTTCTTTCCTCTGGATTTTGCGGGGGGCCTCTTTTCCTCAGTTTTCCTCCCCCTTCCTTAGCCTTCCCCTTTTCCCTGAACTTCATTAAAAATGGGAGAGAAAGAGAGAGAAGGAAAGAGGGGAGAGAAGGAAAGAGAGAGAGGGGGGAAAAAAAGGAAAGAGAGAGAGAAGGAAAGGGGAGAGAGTGAGCCCTTTATAGAGGACCCTTTTACAAAACTTTTATACATGTTTTGTGTGTGGTGTGGGGTGTGGGGTGTGTGTGTGTGTTTTGTGTGTGTCGGTTGGGGCTATGTGTGTGGGTGTGGGTGCGGGTGGGGCTTTTGGGTGTTGGGTGTGTCTCACCGTGCAGCAGAGTGGGGAGTGGAAAATAGGGAAAAAAGGACCTTTTCTATAGCTAAATTAAATTTTAGCATAAATAGGAGTCACAGGGGAGGGATTTAAAAAACTCCCCCGGGAAAGGGGAGGAGGAAGGGGGAGGAGAGGGGGGGGAGAGGAGAGGGGGAGGGGGAGGAGAGGGGGGGGGTTAAAAAAAGGGGCCCTGAAGGAAAGGGGGACGGGGGGAGGAGGGGAAAAGGGGGAGGAAGGAGGGGGAGAGGAGGGGGGAGAGGAGAGGAGAGGACCAAGGGGGAGGAGAGGAGAGGAGAGGGGGAGGGAGAGGAGGGGGGAGGAGAGGAGAGGAGGAGGGGAAAGGGGGAGAGGAGGGGAAAGAGGAGGGGGAAGGAGGAGGGAGAGGAAGGGGGGAGAGGGGGAAGGGGAGGGGGAGGGGGAAAGGGGAAAGGAGAGGAGAGGAGGGGGAAAGAGGAGGGGAGGGGGAAGGGGAAAGAGGGGGGAAAGCGGAGGAGGGAGAGGAGAGGAGAGGAGAGGAGAGGAGAGGAGAGGAGGGGAGAGGAGAGGAGAGGGAGGAGAGGAGAGGAGAGGAGGTCAAAATAAAAAATTGTTTTTTACAGTTGAAGGGAATTTTAACTTTTAAAAACCCCAAATGTCTTTTTAAACTATATTTTTGGAAGTGGGTTTTTAGGAACATTTTACTTTGTGTTTGATAATTGTGCATGATACAAGTAATTTTCCAACAATTGTTTACAGACAGATTATTTCACTGTATCACAATTCCAGTGGGTCAGAAGTTTACATACACTACGTAGGGTCCCCTGTAGCTCAGTTGGTAGAGCATGGCGCTTGCAACGGCAGGGTTGTGGGTTCGTTTCCCACGGGGGGCCAGTATGAAAATGTATGCACTCACTAACTGTAAGTCGCTCTGGATAAGAGCGTCTGCTAAATGACTAAAATGTAAATGTAAAATGTTGACTGTGCCTTTAAACAGCTTGGAAAATTCCAGAAAATTATGTCATGGCTTTAGAAGCTTCTGATAGGCTAATTGACATCATTTGAGTCAATTGGAGGAGTACCTGTGGATGTATTTCAAGGCCTACCTTCAAACTCAGTTCCTCTTTGCTTGACATCATGGGAAAATCAAAAGAAATCAGCCAAGACCTCAGAAAAAAACATTGTAGACCTCCACAAGTCTGGTTCATCCTTGGGAGCAATTTCCAAACGCCTGAAGGTACCTCGTTCATCTGTACAAACAATAGTACGCAAGTATAAACACCATGGGACCACGCAGCCATCATACCGCTCAGGAAGGAGACGCGTTCTGTCTCCTAGAGATTATCGTACTTTGGTGCGAAAAGTGCAAATCAATCCCAGAACAACAGCAAAGGACCTTGTGAAGATGCTGGAGGAAACAGGTACAAAAGTATCTATATCCACAGTAAAACAAGTCCTATATCGACATAAACCTGAAAGGCCGCTCAGCAAGGAAGAAGCCACTGCTCCAAAACCGCCATAAAAAAGCCCACACTACGGTTTGCAACTGCCACATGGGGACAAAGATCGTACTTTTTGGAGAACTGTCCTCTGGTCTGATGAAACAAAACAAAATAGATGGCTTCATTTAAGTCGCTCTGGTAAAAGCGTCTGGCTAAAGGACGTAAAGGTTAAAATGGGTCTTCCAAACGGACAATGACCCCAAGCATACTTCTAAAGTTGTGGCAAAATGGCTTAAGGACAACAAAGTCAAGGTATTGGGGTGGCATCACAAAGCCCTGACCTCAATCCTATAGAAAATGTGTGGGCAGAACTGAAAAGCGTGTGCGAGCAAGGAGGCCTACCAAACCTGACTCAGTTACACCAGCTCTGTCAGAGGAATGGGCCAAAATTCACCCAACTTATTGTGGGAAGCTGTGGAAGGCTACCCGAAACGTTTGACCCCAAGTTAAACAATTTAAAGTCAATGCACCAAATACTATTGAGTGTATGTAAACTTCTGACCCACTGGGAATGGATGAAAGAAATAAAAGCTGAAATAAATCATTCTCTCTAATATTATTCTGACATTTCACATTCTTAAAATAAAGTGGTGATCCTAACTGACCTAAAACAGGGAATTTTTACTAGGATTAAATGTCAGGAGTTGTGAAAAACTGAGTTTAAATGTATTTGGCTAAGGTGTATGTAAACTTCCGACTTCAACTGTATAATCTATGGTGTGTGTGTCCCTTCTTGCTGACTCCGTCCTGTATAACAGTGGTTCTGAACAGTGTGTGTGTCCAGTGTGTGTACCTTCTTGCTGACTCCGTCCTGTATAACAGTGGTTCTGAACAGTGTGTGTGTCCAGTGGTTCTGAACAGTGTGTGTGTCCAGTGTGTGTACCTTCTTGCTAACTCCATCCTGTATAACAGTGGTTCTGAACAGTGTGTGTGTCCAGTGGTTCTGAACAGTGTGTGTGTCCAGTGTGTGTACCTTCTTGCTAACTCATCCTGTATAACAGTGGTTCTGAACAGTTTGAGCATTCCCTCTTTAGACAGAGATCTGATGAGACGCAGGATAGACTTCTTACAACACTTAGTGTTGACACCATCTAACTTCTCCTCATCCTGGACCAACCTCTGGAGTCTGGAGGGAGAGAGGGAGGGAGGGAGAGAAAGGGAGGGGGGGCGGGAGAGAGGGAGGCAGAGGGAGAGAGGGGGGGAGGGGGGAACAGAGAGAGAGGGGGGGGACAGAGAGAGGGGGGGACAGATAGAGAGGGGGGACAGGAGGGGAGAGAGAAGGGGGGAGGGAGAGGAGGAGGGGGGAAGAGGAGGAGGGGGGGACAGAGAGAGAGAGAGGGGCGAGGGGGAGAGGGGGGACAGAGAGAGGGGGGCGGAGAGGGAGGAGAGAGAGGGGGGGAGAGAGAGGGAGAAGAGAGAGAGAGAGGAGGGAGAGAGAGGAGAGGAGGGAGAGAGAGAGAGGGGGAGAGAGAGAGGAGGAGGAGGCGGAGAGAGAGGGGGGGGAGGGAGAGAGAGGGGGAGAGAGAGAGGGGGGGAGAGAGAGGGGGGGGAGAGAGGGAGAGGGGGGAGAGAGGGGGGAGAGAGAGAGAGGGGGGGAGGGAGAGAGGGGGGAGAGGAGAGAGGGGGAAGAGGGCCGAGAGGGGGGCGAGAGAGGAAAGAGAGAGAGAGGAGGGCGAAGAGTAGGGGGGGAGAGAGGGGGGAAGAGGGGAGAGAGGGGGGAAGAGGGGAGAGGGGGGGAGAGAGAGGGGAGGGGGGGGGAGAGAGAGAGGGGGGAAGAGGGAGGAAGAGGGAGAGCGAGGAGGGAGAGAAGGACAATAGAATCAGATTGAGAATTATTTTAAACTACAAATCCCAGTGATAGTGTAGCAGGAAGTGAGACAGGAAGTGATGTAACTGACGTGAAGAGGCCCTCGATGATCTTGAGGCTCCGGACAGCTTCCACAATCATGTTCTTCCTTTTCAGCAGGCGGTACGTCTGGCGGGTACACTCCTGACCAAACAGAGACCAGGGGGGAGAGAGAGAGAGAGAGAGAGATTCAGACATGGAATTCATGTACTAGATCTGCAGAGATCTTACATAATCATTTTTGTTTGAGACACACAGCCACACCTTTTGACTGGGGATCTCCTCGATGACCGTGACGCTGTCCTCTGGTTGGCTGTTGCCTACTAACATACTCTCCGTCTGGTCCAATGAAACGTCAGGACTGAATTTTGACTCCTGCCCCTCACCAGTGCTGAGCCGAGATTCCAGCTCTAGCTCTTGATTGGCTCCCCCTTCGGTAGGGGGCGTGGTCTCACCTGAGAGGCAAGTGAACCAAGGTAAAGCAGGGGCATATTCAGGGTCTTGAAACGCTCAACGTTGCAGATAGAAATAGAATGAATAGAGCTGACACGATTCCCTTTTCTAGCTGACAGCCAATCATATCTGTGCTACAACAAACATTTCAGTCTGAATGTTCTGAACAGGTACAGTGCATTCAGAAAGTATTCAGACCCCTTCACTTTCTCCACATTCTGTTACGTTACAGCCTTATTCTAAAATGGATTAAATAAATACAAATCCTCAATCTAAACACAACACCCCATAATGACAAAGCGAAAACAGGTTTTTATTTACATATACATTTCAGACATTTGCTATGAGACTCGAAAATTGAGCTCAGGTGCATCCTGTTTCCATTGATCATCCTTGAAAGGTTTCTACAAGTTGATTAGTGTCCACCTGTGGTAAATTCAATTGATTGGACATGATTTGGAAAGGCAAAGACCTTTCTATATAAGGTCCTACAGTTGACAGTGCAAGTCAGAGCAAAAACCAAGCCATGACGTCTAAGGAATAGTCCGTAGAGCTCAGAGACAGGATTGTGTCGTGGCACAGATCTGGGGAAGGGTACCAAAACATGTCTGCAGCATTGAAGGTCCCCAAGAAGGTCTCCATCATTCTTAAATGCAACAAATTTGGAACCACCAAGACTCTTTCTAGAGCTGGCCGCCCGGCCAAACTGAGCAATCGGGGGAGAAGGGCCTTGGTCAGGCAGGTGACCAAGAACCCGATGGTCAGAGCTCCAGAGTTCCTCTGTGGAGATGGGAGAACCTTCCAGAAGGACAACCATCTCTGCAGCACTCCACCAATCAGGCCTTTATGGTAGAGTGGCCAGACGGAAGCCACTCTTCAGTAAAAGGCACATGACAGCCCGCTTGGAGTTTACCAAAAGGCACCTAAAGGACTATCAGACCATGAGAAACAAGATTCTCTGGCCTGATGAAACCAAGATTGAACTCTTTGGCCTGAATGCCAAGCATCACCTCTGGAGGAAACCTGGCACCATCCCTACGGTGAAGCATGGTGGTGGCAGCATCATGATGTGGGGATGTCTTTCAGCGGCAGGGACTGGGAGACTAGTCAGGATCGAGGGAAAGATGAACGGAGCAAAGTACAGAGAGATCATTGATGAAAACCTGCTCCAGAGCGCTCAGGACCCAGACTGGGGCAAAGGTTCACCTTCCAACAGGACAACGACCCTAAGCACACAGCCAAGACAACGCAGGAGTGGCTTCGGTACAAGTCTCTGAATGTCCTTGAGTGGCCCAGCCAGAGCCCGGACTTGAACCCGATCAAACATCTCTGGAGAGAACTGAAAATAGCTGTGCAGCGACGCTCCCCATCTAACCTGACAGAGCTTGAGAGGATCTGCAGAGAAGAATGGGAGAAACTCCCCAAATACAGATGTGCCAAGCTTGTAGCGTCATACCCAAGAAGACTCGAGGCTGTAATCGCTGCCAAAGGTGCTTCAACAAAGTACTGAGTAAAGGGTCTGAATACGTATGTAAATGTGATATTTAATTTTTTTAAATCTAAAAACCTGTTTTGGATTTGTCATTATGGGGTATTGTGTGTAGATTGATGAAAAAACAAACAATTTAATCCATTTTAGAATAAGGCTGTAACGTAACAAAATGTGGAAAAAGTGAAGGGGTCTGAATACTTTCCGAATGCACTGTAAATGGAGGTTAAATCTTAAGTGCGCATTAGTTAAGAGTGTACCCTTACAGGATGCCAGGGAATTGGGTGTTAGGGTGTAGGTTGCATATTTAGTATGCATACTCACTGTTGACGGGTGTAGAGTGAGTAGGTACCAGGAAGTAGAGTTAGGTCAGTATTTAGGGTGTAGGGTACTCACTGTTGACGGGTGTAGAGTGAGTAGGTACCAGGAAGTAGAGTTAGGTCAGTATTTAGGGTGTAGGGTACTCACTGCTGACGGGTGTAGAGTGAGTTGGTACCAGGAAGTAGAGTTAGGTCAGTATTTAGGGTGTAGGGTACTCACTGCTGACGGGTGTAGAGTGAGTAGGTACCAGGAAGTAGAGTTAGGTCAGTATTTAGGGTGTAGGGTACTCACTGCTGACGGGTGTAGAGTGAGTAGGTACCAGGAAGTAGAGTTAGGTCAGTATTTAGGGTGTAGGGTACTCACTGCTGACGGGTGTAGAGTGAGTAGGTACCAGGAAGTAGAGTTAGGTCAGTATTTAGGGTGTAGGGTACTCACTGTTGACGGGTGTAGAGTGAGTAGGTACCAGGAAGTTGAGTTTCTCGCCCACTTTTTCCTTCTTCTTTTTCTTCTTTGCTCCCTTCTTCCCTTTCTTCTTGACTTCCCAGTCTCCCTCTTCCTCACCCCTCTCTCCATCCTTCTCTTCCTCAGTGTTTCCCAGAGGTTCCAGAAGCCATGGTGTTTTTGGGGTGGTCTGTGCTGGGGTTTTGGGGCCCCCTACAGTGCGAAGCTTGTCTGATCGGTTCTGCTCTTTGACTAGATGTTGAAGCAGGTCACACTGGTCTACATGCAGATGGCTGACGTACTTGGTGGTCCTCTGACGACCCTCGTCTTCCATGAAACCCTGAGGGACGGACGGACACAAGGATAACACACACACACACACACACACAAGGATAACACACACACACACACACAACACACACACACACACACAAGGATAACACACACACACACACACACACACACACACAAGGATAACACACACACACACACACAAGGATAACACACAACACACACACACACACAAGGATAACACACAACACACACGGACAACACACACACACACACTTGTCTATTTCATAAAGAAATATGGGAAAACGTCATTTCCAAGGCAAACAGACACCGCTCAATAAGCTTTGCCATGACAACAAGAGAAAGGTGATAAACCAATGGTGACGTCACAGTAGATGACATAGTCCTGTATATATTTATTTATTTGACGTGTATAAACGCTCTTTACCCTGATCATGTCCGTCCTCTCCAGCACACGGCAGATCATGCGAGACTCCAGCTTGCCGATGCACATCCTCGCACGCATTGCACTCTGGGAGATGCCCTTGGTCCCACTGGACACGACTAGATCAGCCAATCACAAGGCAGAGAGTAAGACATTCGACCAATCAGAAATGGAACCGTTTCCTGCCTAAAAATGGAAAAAGAGATCCATTTCTACACCAATATTTTGGCCAATAAGAACAGAGCAAACCAGAACGTACAGATCCCATAGGCCTGTGAGAGGAGGTCTCTCTCCATGACCCGCCCCTCTGTGGGGACGGACTTCCTGTTTGCTCCTCCCCCATCTTCATCGTCGTTATCATCATCATCATCCTCAGCCTCGACCACCTCCTTCCTAACGTAGGGTTTGATGAGCTTCAGACAGCGAGCCACCACCTTGGTCCCTAGAGGAGAGGAGACGACAGGAGAGGAGACAGGGGGTTAGGGAACAGGGCTTCAGACAGCGAGCCACCACCTTGGTCCCTAGAGGAGAGGAGGAGAGGAGACGACAGGAGAGGAGACAGGGGGTTAGGGAACAGGGCTTCAGACAGCGAGCCACCACCTTGGTCCCTAGAGGAGAGGAGGAGAGGAGACGACAGGAGAGGAGACAGGGGGTTAGGGAACAGGGCTTCAGACAGCGAGCCACCACCTTGGTCCCTAGAGGAGAGGAGACGACAGGAGAGGAGACAGGGGGTTAGGGAACAGGGCTTCAGACAGCGAGCCACCACCTTGGTCCCTAGAGGAGAGGAGGAGAGGAGACGACAGGAGAGGAGACAGGGGGTTAGGGAACAGGGCTTCAGACAGCGAGCCACCACCTTGGTCCCTAGAGGAGAGGAGGAGAGGAGACGACAGGAGAGGAGACAGGGGGTTAGGGAACAGGGCTTCAGACAGCGAGCCACCACCTTGGTCCCTAGAGGAGAGGAGGAGAGGAGACGACAGGAGAGGAGACAGGGGGGTTAGGGAACAGGGCTTCAGACAGCGAGCCACCACCTTGGTCCCTAGAGGAGAGGAGACGACAGGAGAGGAGACAGGGGGTTAGGGAACAGGGCTTCAGACAGCGAGCCACCACCTTGGTCCCTGGAGGAGAGGAGGAGAGGAGACGACAGGAGAGGAGACAGGGGGTTAGGGAACAGGGCTTCAGACAGCGAGCCACCACCTTGGTCCCTAGAGGAGAGGAGACGACAGGAGAGGAGACAGGGGGTTAGGGAACAGGGCTTCAGACAGCGAGCCACCACCTTGGTCCCTAGAGGAGAGGAGACGACAGGAGAGGAGACAGGGGGTTAGGGAACAGGGCTTCAGACAGCGAGCCACCACCTTGGTCCCTAGAGGAGAGGAGGAGAGGAGACGACAGGAGAGGAGACAGGGGGTTAGGGAACAGGGCTTCAGACAGCGAGCCACCACCTTGGTCCCTAGAGGAGAGGAGACGACAGGAGAGGAGACAGGGGGTTAGGGAACAGGGCTTCAGGACAGCGAGCCACCACCTTGGTCCCTAGAGGAGAGGAGGAGAGGAGACGACAGGAGAGGAGACAGGGGGTTAGGGAACAGGGCTTCAGACAGCGAGCCACCACCTTGGTCCCTAGAGGAGAGGAGACGACAGGAGAGGAGACAGGGGGTTAGGGAACAGGGCTTCAGACAGCGAGCCACCACCTTGGTCCCTGGAGGAGAGGAGACGACAGGAGAGGAGACAGGGGGTTAGGGAACAGGGCTTCAGACAGCGAGCCACCACCTTGGTCCCTAGAGGAGAGGAGACGACAGGAGAGGAGACAGGGGGTTAGGGAACAGGGCTTCAGACAGCGAGCCACCACCTTGGTCCCTAGAGGAGAGGAGGAGAGGAGACGACAGGAGAGGAGACAGGGGGTTAGGGAACATGGCGGACTCAACTATCAATAGAGGAAAGGAGACGGGTAGGGAGAAAGGAAACAGGGTTTCAGACAGAACAGACAAGGAGACAGGTAGGGAGTAAGGAAACAGGATTTCAGACAGAACAGACAAGGAGACAGGTAGGGAGTAAGGAAACAGGGTTTCAGACAGAACAGACAAGGAGACAGGTAGGGAGTAAGGAAACAGGGTTTCAGACAGAACAGACAAGGAGACAGGTAGGGAGTAAGGAAACAGGGTTTCAGACAGAACAGACAAGGAGGCAGGTAGGGAGTAAGTTATATATTTTTTACTTAACACTTATTTTTTCTTAAAACGTAATGGTTGGTTAAGGTCTTGTAATTAACCATTTCACTGTAAGGTCTACACCTGTTGTATTCGGCGCATGTGGCAAACTAAATTTGATTTGAAGTGCAGAGATGACATGTATTTTTTCCCCTTCCCCTGTTTCGAGACAGGAGCAGGGGAAAAATCTAAACACATTTTTCCCCCCTCATCAATCTACACACCAGACCTCAAAATGACAAAGCAAAAACAGGTTTTTAGAAATTTGTGCAAATGTATAAAATAAAAAAAACTGAAATATCTATTTACATAACTATTCAGACCCGTTACTCAGTACTTTGTCGAAGCACCTTTGGCAGCGATTACAGCCTCGAGTCTTCTTGGGTATGACTCTACAAGCTTGCACACCTGTATTTGGGGAGTTTCTCCCATTCTTCTCTGCAGATCCTCTCAAGCTCTGTCAGGTTAGATGGGGAGCGTCACTGCACAGCTATTTTCAGGTCTCTCCAGAGATGTTCGATCGGGTTCAAGTCCAAGCTCTGGCTGGGCCACTCAAGGACATTCAGAGACTTGTTCCGAAGCCACTCCTGCGTTGTCTTGGCTGTGTGCTTAGGGTCGTTGTCCTGTTGGAAGGTGAACCTTCGCCCCAGTCTGAGGTCCTGAGCACTCTGGAGCAGGTTTTCATCAAGGATCTCTGTACTTTGCTCCGTTCATCTTTCCCTCGATCCGGACTAGTCTCCCAGACCCCGCCGCTGAAAGACATCCGCACAGCATGATGCTGCCACCCCCATGCTTCACCGTAGGGAGGGTGCCAGGTTTTCTCCAGACGTGACGCTTGGCATTCAGGCCAAAGAGTTCAATCTTGGTTTCATCAGCCCAGAGAATGTTGTTTCTCATGGTCTGAGAGTCTTTAGGTGCCTTTTGGTTAACTCCAAGCCGGCTATCATGTGCCTTTTACTGAGGAGTGGCTTCCGTCTGGCCACTCTACCATAAAGGCCTGATTGGTGGAGTGCTGCAGAGATGGTTGTCCTTCTGGAAGGTTCTCCCATCTCCAGAGTAACCATCAGGTTCTTGGTCACCTCCCTGACCAAGGCCCTTCTTCCCCGATTGCTCAGTTTGGCCGGGCGGCCAGCTCTAGGAAGAGTCTTGGTGGTTCCAAACTTCTTCAATTTAAGAATGATGGAGGCCACTGTGTTCTTGGGGACCTTCAATTCTGCACATATTTTTTGGTACTCTTCCCCATATCTGTGCCACGACACAATCCTGTCTCTGAGCTCTACGGACAATTCCTTCGACCTCATGGCTTGGTTTTTGCTCTGATATGCACTGTCAACTGTGGGACCTTATATAGACAGGTGTGTGCCTTTCCAAATCATGTCCAATCAATTTAATGTACCACAGGTGGACTCCAATCAAGTTGTAGAAACATCAAGGATGATCAATGGAAACAGGATGCACCTGAGCACAATTTCGAGTCTCATAGCAAAGGGTCTAAATACTTATGTAAATAAGGTATTTCTGATTTTTATTCTTAAAAATGTGAAAAAATTTCTAAAAACCTGTTTTCGCTTTGTCATTATGGGGTATTGTGTGTAGATTGATGAGGGAGAAAAAAGTATTTAATCCATTTTAGAATAAGGCTGTAACGTAACAAAATGTGGAAAAAGTCAAGGGGTGTGAATATGAGGTTGTAAGGTAGTGTGTAGAATACATACCTTTCCTGGTATTGAAGGGGCCAACTGTAGGGTTGAGCTGTTCAACTGGTTTAATGACCACTTGGACCAGTTTGGCTGCTTGCATGTACTGACACACACGCTTAAAGGTCCTCTCATTGACACACTGCAGAGAGAACACACACACACACTACACGTACTGACACACACGCTTTAACCTGCATGTAACATGTACTGATACACACGCATACGTCCGCTCAATGATGCACTGCAGAGAGAACACACACACTGGAACACACACACACACGCTGGAACACACCACACACGCTGGAACACACACACACACGCTGGAACACACACACACGCTGGAACACACACACACACGCTGGAACACACACACACACGCTGGAACACACACACACACGCTGGAACACACACACACGCTGGAACACACACACACGCTGGAACACACACACACGCTGATCTCACCAGTTGGTCTCGTAGTGTGATTACGGAGGCCATGTGGTTGGACGTCTCTGACAGGAGGTTAGAGGTCGTCTCCATCAGGATATCATACTTACTACGCCTAGAGAGCGAGAGCGAGAGCGAGAGAGAGAGAGAGAGAGAGAGAGAGAGAGAGAGAGAGAGAGAGAGAGAGAGAGAGAGAGAGAGAGAAAAATGAGAAATGAGAGAGAGAGAGAGAGAGAGACAGAGAGAGAGAGACAGAGAGAGAGAGACAGAGAGAGAGAGAGAGAGAGAGAGAGAGAAGAGAGAGACACAGAGAGAGAGAGACAGAGAGAGAGAGAGACGGAGACAGAGAGAGTACAGCAAGTGAATGAGAGTATGGCAATTGCACCGCCCTTGACCGCAAAGCGCTACAAAGGGTGGTGCGGAGAGCCCAGTACATCACTGGGGCCGAGCTCCCTGCCATCCAGGACCTCTATACCAGGCGGTGTGAAAGGAAGACCCGAAAAACTGCCAAAGACTCCAGCCACCCTAGTCATAGACTGTTCACTCTGCTATCGTCCGGAAGACGGTACCGGAGCATCGGCTCTTGGACCGACAGGCTCCGAGACAGCTTCTACCCCGAAGCCATAAGACTTCTAAATAGCCAGACTGATAAATAGTAAATGAATGGTACCTGAACTATATGCACTGACTCTATCATGCATTGACCCTATGCACACTCACAATACTATATATATATATATATATATATATATATATATATATATACAGTGGGGAAAAAAAGTATTTAGTCAGCCACCAATTGTGCAAGTTCTCCCACTTAAAAAGATGAGAGAGGCCTGTAATTTTCATCATAGGTACACGTCAACTATGACAGACAAAATGAGAAAAGAAATTCCAGAAAATCACATTGTAGGATTTTTAATGCATTTATTTGCAAATTATGGTGGAAAATAAGTATTTGGTCAATAACAAAAAAGTTTCTCAATACTTTGTTATATACCCTTTGTTGGCAATGACACAGGTCAAACGTTTTCTGTAAGTCTTCACAAGGTTTTCACACACTGTTGCTGGTATTTTGGCCCATTCCTCCATGCAGATCTCCTCTAGAGCAGTGATGTTTTGGGGCTGTCGCTGGGCAACACGGATTTTCAACTCCCTCCAAAGATTTTCTATGGGGTTGAGATCTGGAGACTGGCTATGCCACTCCAGGACCTTGAAATGCTTCTTACGAAGCCACTCCTTCGTTGCCCGGGCGGTGTGTTTGGGATCATTGTCATGCTGAAAGACCCAGCCACGTTTCATCTTCAATGCCCTTGCTGATGGAAGGAGGTTTTCACTCAAAATCTCACGATACATGGCCCCATTCATTCTTTCCTTTACACGGATCAGTCGTCCTGGTCCCTTTGCAGAAAAACAGACCCAAAGCATGATGTTTCCACCCCCATGCTTCACAGTAGGTATGGTGTTCTTTGGATGCAACTCAGCATTCTTTGTACTCCAAACACGACGAGTTGAGTTTTTACCAAAAAGTTCTATTTTGGTTTCATCTGACATTCTCCCAATCCTCTTCTGGATCATCCAAATGCACTCTAGCAAACTTCAGACGGGCCTGGACATGTACTGGCTTAAGCAGGGGGACACAGCAGGATTTGAGTCCCTGGCGGCGTAGTGTGTTACTGATGGTAGGCTTTGTTACTTTGGTCCCAGCTCTCTGCAGGTCATTCACTAGGTCCCCCCGTGTGGTTCTGGGATTTTTGCTCACCGTTCTTGTGATAATTTTGACCCCACGGGGTGAGATCTTGCGTGGAGCCCCAGATCGAGGGAGATTATCAGTGGTGTTGTATGTCTTCCATTTCCTAATAATTGCTCCCACAGTTGATTTCTTCAAACCAAGCTGCTTACCTATTGCAGATTCAGTCTTCCCAGCCTGGTGCAGGTCTACAATTTTGTTTCTGGTGTCCTTTGACAGCTCTTTGGTCTTGGCCATAGTGGAGTTTGGAGTGTGACTGTTTGAGGTTGTGGACAGGTGTATTTTATACTGATAACAAGTTCAAACAGGTGCCATTAATACAGGAAACGAGGGGAGGACAGAGGAGCCTCTTAAAGAAGAAGTTACAGGTCTGTGAGAGCCAGAAATCTTGCTTGTTTGTAGGTGACCAAATACTTATTTTCCACCATAATTTGCAAATAAATTCATTAAAAATCCTACAATGTGATTTTCTGGATTTTTTTTTCTCAATTTGTCTGTCATAGTTGACGTGTACCTATGATGAAAATTACAGGCATCTCTCATCTTTTTAAGTGGGAGAACTTGCACAATTGGTGGCTGACTAAATACTTTTTTTCCCCACTGTATATATATATATATATATATATATATATATATATATATATATATACATACACACACTACATTGACACTCCCACACAAAACAATATCCCACACACATACATCATATGCTGCTGCTACTCTGTTCTTTAATTTACTCTTATTATTATTATATATCCTGATGACTCCTTTACCCTGCCTTCATGTACATATCTACAGTGGGGGAAAAAACGTATTTAGTCAGCCACCAATTGTGCAAGTTCTCCCACTTAAAAAGATGAGAGAGGCCTGTAATTTTCATCATAGGTACACGTCAACTATGACAGACAAATTGAGGAAAAAAAATCCAGAAAATCACATTGGAGAATTTTTAATGAATTTATTTGCAAATTATGGTGGAAAATAAGTATTTGGTCACCTACAAACAAGCAAGATTTCTGGCTCTCACAGACCTGTAACTTCTTCTTTAAGAGGCTCCTCTGTCCTCCACTAGTTACCTGTATTAATTGCACCTGTTTGAACTTGTTATCAGTATAAAAGACACCTGTCCACAACCTCAAACAGTCACACTCCAAACTCCACTATGGCCAAGACCAAAGAGCTGTCAAAGGACACCAGAAACAAAATTGTAGACCTGCACCAGGCTGGGAAGACTGAATCTGCAATAGGTAAGCAGCTTGGTTTGAAGAAATCAACTGTGGGAGCAATTATTAGGAAATGGAAGACATACAAGACCACTGATAATCTCCCTCGATCTGGGGCTCCACGCAAGATCTCACCCCGTGGGGTCAAAATGATCACAAGAACGGTGAGCAAAAATCACAGAACCACACGGGGGAACCTAGTGAATGACCTGCAGAGAGCTGGGACCAAAGTAACAAAGCCTACCATCAGTAACACACTACGCCGCCAGGGACTCAAATCCTGCAGTGCCAGACGTGTCCCCCTGCTTAAGCCAGTACATGTCCAGGCCCGTCTGAAGTTTGCTAGAGTGCATTTGGATGATCCAGAAGAGGATTGGGAGAATGTCAGATGAAACCAAAATATAACTTTTTGGTAAAAACTCAACTCGTCGTGTTTGGAGGACAAAGAATGCTGAGTTGCATCCAAAGAACACCATACCTACTGTGAAGCATGGGGGTGGAAACATCATGCTTTGGGGCTGTTTTTCTGCAAAGGGACCAGGGCGACTGATCCGTGTAAAGGAAAGAATGAATGGGGCCATGTATCGTGAGATTTTGAGTGAAAACCTCCTTCCATCAGCAAGGGCATTGAAGATGAAACATGGCTGGGTATTTCAGCATGACAATGATCCCAAACACACCGCCCGGGCAACGAAGGAGTGCCTTCGTAAGAAGCATTTCAAGGTCCTGGAGTGGCCTAGCCAGTCTCCAGATCTCAACCCCATAGAACATCTTTGGAGGGAGTTGAAAGTCCGTGTTGCCCAGCCACAGCCCCAAAACATCACTGCTCTAGAGGAGATCTGCATGGAGGAATGGGCCAAAATACCAGCAACAGTGTGTGAAAACCTTGTGAAGACTTACAGAAAACGTTTGACCTGTGTCATTGCCAAGAAAGGGTATTGAGAAACTTTTGTTATTGACCAAATACTTATTTTCCACCATAATTTGCAAATAAATTCATTAAAAATCCTACAATGTGATTTTCTGGATTTATTTTCCTCATTTTGTCTGTCATAGTTGACGTGTACCTATGATGAAAATTACAGGCCTCTCATCTTTTTAAGTGGGAGAACTTGCACAATTGGTGGCTGACTAAATACTTTTTTTCCCCACTGTATCTACCTCATATACCTTATTATTATATATCCTGATGCCTAGTCACTTTACCCTGCCTTCATGTACATATCTACCTCAAATACCATAATAATAATAATAATAATAATAATAATAATAATAATAATATTATTATCTATCCTGATGACTCCTTTACCCTGCCTACATGTACGTATTAACCTTTTACCTCTGCACATTGATCTGGTACTGGTACTCCCTCTATATAGCTCCACATTGATCTGGTACTGGTACTCCCTGTATATAGCTCCATATTGATCTGGTACTGGTACTCCCTGTATATAGCTCCATATTGATCTGGTACTGGTACTCCCTGTATATAGCTCCACATTGATCTGGTACTGGTACTCCCTGTATATAGCAGCACATTGATCTGGTACTGGTACTCCCTGTATATAGCTCCACATTGATCTGGTACTGGTACTTCCTGTATATAGCTGCACAGTGATCTGGTACTGGTACTCCCTGTATATAGCTGCACATTGATCTGGTACTGGTACTCCCTGTATATAGCTCCATATTGATCTGGTACTGGTACTTCCTGTATATAGCGCCATTCTTTTATTTTGTACTATTATATTTAAACTCTGCATCGTTGGGTAAGGTTCGTAAGTGGTGAGTGGGTGTTCTGACTGGTCTATGTGGAAGCGTTTGGTGAGTGAGTGAGTGAGTATACTGACCGGTCTATGTGGAAGCGTTTGGTGAGTGAGTGAGTGCACTGACCGGTCTATGTGGAAGCGTTTGGTGAGTGAGTGAGTGAGTGCACTGACCGGTCTATGTGGAAGCGTTTGGTGAGTGAGTGAGTGAGTATACTGACCGGTCTATGTGGAAGCGTTTGGTGAGTGAGTGAGTGCACTGACCGGTCTATGTGGAAGCGTTTTGGTGAGTGAGTGAGGAGTGCACTGACCGGTCTATGTGGAAGCGTTTGTGTGAGTGAGTGAGTGAGGAGTATAGACCGGTCTATGTGGAAGCGTTTGGTGAGTGAGTGAGTGCACTGACCGGTCTATGTGGAAGCGTTTGGTGAGTGAGTGAGAGTGCACTGACCGGTCTATGTGGAAGCGTTTGGTGAGTGAGTGAGTATACTGACCGGTCTATGTGGAAGCGTTTGGTGAGTGAGTGTATACTGACCGGTTATGTGGAAGGGGTTGGTGAGTGAGTGAGTGACCTGACCGGTTATGTGGAAGCGTTGGTGAGTGAGTGAGTATAATGACCGGTCTATGTGGAAGGTTTGGTGAGTGAGGAGTAACTGAGGGTCTATGTGGAAGCGTTGGTGAGTGAGTGAGTGCACTGACCGGTCTATGTGGAAGCGTTTGGTGAGTGAGTGAGTGAGGGTTCTGACCGGTCTATGTGGAAGCGTTTGGTGAGTGAGTGAGGGTTCTGACCGGTCTATGTGGAAGCGTTTGGTGAGTGAGTGAGGGTTCTGACCGGTCTATGTGGAAGCGTTTGGTGAGTGAGTGAGGGTTCTGACCGGTCTATGTGGAAGCGTTTGGTGAGTGAGTGAGGGTTCTGACCGGTCTATGTGGAAGCGTTTGGTGAGTGAGTGAGGGTTCTGACCGGTCTATGTGGAAGCGTTTGAGCAGCAGTAGTATGGAGTGTTGCTGTGCTCCGCTGGCCAGTCTGATGACATGAGACTGCATGGTGATCAGATCATTCTGCTTCAGAGACTTCCTCATGTAGTGCATCCTCCTCGGGTCCGTCCTGCACCAATCACAACACAGCTTATTACATAGTGGACTGAGTCCTGACCAATCAGAGCAGACTATAGTGGTATATAGTACTAAAGAGTTTCCTGTCTAGCCACCTACTTGAATGAGCAGGAGTGCAGGTCTCTCTGTAACTCCTCCCTGCCAGCGGGCCCTCCCCAGCCTCTCCAGGATACAGTAGGAGTGGTCAGTCAGCTTCACGTCCGGGTCGCCTCCGTCACCTATCAACACCCTGAACCTTACCCTCTGGGAGGCCACCATTACCAGCTTCCTACCCCACCTGGAGGAGAGGAGGAGAGGTTATCATGGGAGGCCACCATTACCAGCTTCCTACCCCACCTGGAGGAGAGGAGAGAGGTTATCATGGGAGGCCACCATTACCAGCTTCCTACCCCACCTGGAGGAGAGGAGAGAGGTTATCATGGGTTAGGGGTTGTTTTAGGACCATCCTTAGTTAGGATCTACCTGACTAGTTCATGACAAGTTGTGGATTGATTCTACCTGGAGGAGAGGAGAGAGGAGGAGAGGTTATCATGGGTTAGGGGTTGTTTTAGGACCATACTTAGTTAGTATCTACCTGACTAGTTCATGACAAGTTGTGGATTGATTCTACCTGGAGGAGAGGAGAGAGGAGGAGAGGTTATCATGGGTTAGGGGTTGTTTTAGGACCAACCTTAGTTATTATCTACCTGACTAGTTCATGACAAGTTGTGGATTGATTCTACCTGGAGGAGAGGAGAGAGGAGGAGAGGTTTCCATTTGGTGCTTTGACTGTCTGTAGTCGGCCAGCTAATGTAACGTTACCAGCCCCTCCCATATCACTCCCCATCTCTCCCCCTTGATGTTAGCATCTCTACAGGGTCTGGATAGGTAAGTAGTGGAGTAGAGGACTGAAGGGTCTGGATAGGTAAGTAGTGGAGTAGAGGACTGAAGGGTCTGGATAGGTAAGCAGTAGAGTAGAGGACTGAAGGGTCTGGATAGGTAAGCAGTAGAGTAGAGGACTGAAGGGTCTGGATAGGTAAGCAGTGGAGTAGAGGACTGAAGGGTCTGGATAGGTAAGCAGTAGAGTAGAGGACTGAAGGGTCTGGATAGGTAAGCAGTGGAGTAGAGGACTGAAGGGTCTGGATAGGTAAGCAGTGGAGTAGAGGACTGAAGGGTCTGGATAGGTAAGCAGTGGAGTAGAGGACTGAAGGGTCTGGATAGGTAAGCAGTAAGGACTGAAGGGGTCTGGATAGGTAAGCAGTAAGGAGTAGAGGACTGAAGGGTCTGGCTAGGTAAGCAGTAGAGTAAGAGGACTGAAGGGTCTGGATAGGTAAGCAGTAGGAGTAGAGGACTGAAGGGTCCTGGATAGGTAACAGATAGAGTAGAGGACTGAAGGGTCCTGGATAGGTAAGCAGTAAGTAGAGGACTTGAAGGGTCTGGATAGGTAAGCAGTAGGAGTAAGGACTGAAGGGTCCTGGATAGGTAAGCAGTGGAGGTAGAGGACTGAAGGGGTCTGGATAGTAAGCAGTAGAGTTAGAGGACTGAAAGGGTGTCTGGATAGGTAAGCAGTAGAAGTAGGAGGACTGAAGGGGGTCTGGATAGGTAAGCAGTAGGATAGAGGACGGAAGGGTCTGGATAGGTTAGCAGTAGAGTAGAGGACTGAAGGGTCTGGAGAGGTAAGCAGTAGAGTAGAGGACTGAAGGGTCTGGATAGGTAAGCAGTAGAGGACTTAAGGGTCTGGATAGGAAGCAGTAGAGGGACTGAAGGGTCTGGATAGGTAAGCAGTTTGAGTAGAGGACTGAAGGGTCTGGATAGGTAAGCAGTAGAGTAGAGGACTGAAGGGTCTGGATAGGTAAGCAGTAGAGTAGAGGTCTGAAGGGTCTGGATAGGTAAGCAGTAGAGTAGAGGACTGAAGGGTCTGGATAGGTAAGCAGTAGAGTAGAGGACTGAAGGGTCTGGATAGGTAAGCAGTAGAGTAGAGGACTGAAGGGTCTGGATAGGTAAGCAGTAGAGGACTGAAGGGTCTGGATAGGTAAGCAGTAGGGGTAGAGGACTGAAGGGTCTGGATAGGTAAGCAGTAGAGTAGAGGACTGAAGGGTCTGGATAGGTAAGCAGTAGAGGACTGAAGGGTCTGGATAGGTAAGCAGTAGAGTAGAGGACTGAAGGGTCTGGATAGGTAAGCAGTGGAGAGTAGAGGACTGAAGGGTCTGGATAGGTAAGCAGGTGGGAGAGGACTGAAGGGTCTGGATAGGTAAGCAGTAGAGTAGAGGACTGAAGGGTCTGGATAGGTAAGCAGTAGAGTAGAGGACCTGAAAGGGTCTGGATAGGTAAGCAGTAGGGGTAGAGGACTGAAGGGTCTGGATAGGTAAGCAGTTTGAGTAGAGGACTGAAGGGTCTGGATAGGTAAGCAGTAGAGTAGAGGACTGAAGGGTCGGATAGGTAAGCAGTAGAGTAGAGGACTGAAGGGTCTGGATAGGTAAGCAGTAGAGTAGAGGACTGAAGGGTCTGGATAGGTAAGCAGTAGAGTAGAGGACTGAAGGGTCTGGATAGGTAAGCAGTGGAGTAGAGGACTGAAGGGTCTGGATAGGTAAGCAGTAGAGTAGAGGACTGAAGGGTCTGGATAGGTAAGCAGTGGAGTAGAGGACTGAAGGGTCTGGATAGGTAAGCAGTAGAGTAGAGGACTGAAGGGTCTGGATAGGTAAGCAGTAGAGTAGAGGACTGAAGGGTCGGATAGGTAAGCAGTGGAGTAGAGGACTGAAGGGTCTGGATAGGTAGCAGTGAGTAGAGGACTGAAGGGTCTGGATAGGTAAGCAGTGAGTAGAGGACTGAAGGGTCTGGATAGGTAAGCAGTAGAGTAGAGGACTGAAGGGTCTGGATAGGTAAGCAGTAGAGTAGAGGACTGAAGGGTCTGGATAGGTAAGCAGTAGAGTAGAGGACTGAAGGGTCTGGATAGGTAAGCAGTAGTAGGAACTGAAGGGTCTGGATAGGTAAGCAGTAGAGTAGAGACTGAAGGGTCTGGATAGGTAAGCAGTGGAGTAGAGGACTGAGGGTCTGGATAGGTAAGCAGTGGAGTAGAGGACTGAAGGGTCTGGATAGGTAAGCAGTAGGTAGAGGACTGAAGGGTCTGGATAGGTAACGCAGTGAGGACTGAAGGGTCTGGATAGGTAAGCAGTGGCGTAGGGATGAAGGGTCTGGATAGGTAAGCAGTAGAGTAGAGGATGAAGGGTCTGGATAGGTAGCAGTGGAGTAGAGGGACGGACGGGTCTGGATAGGTAAGCGTAGAGTAGAGGACGGAAGGGTATGGCTAGTAAGCAGAGAGGAATGAGAGGTCTGGATAGGTAAGCAGTGGAGTAAGAGGGACTGACGGCTCTGGATAGGTAAGCAGTAGGAGTAGAGGACTGAAGGGTCTGGAGGTAGCAGTTAGAGTAGAGGACTGAAGGGTCTGGATAGGTAAGCAGTAGTAGGTAGAGGACTGAAGGGTCTGGATAGGTAAGCAGTAGAGTAGAGGACTGAAGGGTTTGGATAGGTAAGCAGTAGAGTAGAGGGACTGAAGGGTCTGGATAGGTAAGCAGTAGAGTAGAGGACTGAAGGGTCTGGATAGGTAAGCAGAGAGTAGAGGACTGAAGGGTCTGGATAGGTAAAGCAGTAGAGTAGAGGACTGAAGGGTCTGGATAGGTAAGCAGTGGAGTAGAGGACTGAAGGGTCTGGATAGGTAAGCAGTGAGTAGAGGACTGAAGGGTCTGGATAGGTAAGCAGTAGAGTAGAGGACTGAAGGGTCTGGATAGGTAAGCAGTAGAGTAGAGGACTGAAGGGTTGGATAGGTAAGCAAATAGAGTAGAGGAACTGAAGGGTCTGGATAGGTAAGCAGTAGAGTAGAGGACTGAAGGGTCTGGATAGGTAAGCAGTAGAGTAGAGGACTGAAGGGTCTGGATAGGTAAGCAGTTGAGGACTGAAGGGTCTGGATAGGTAAGCAGTAGAGTAGAGGACTGAAGGGTCTGGATAGGTAAGCAGTAGAGTAGAGGACTGAAGGGTCTGGATAGGTAAGCAGTAGAGTAGAGGAGCTTCCCCCATATTGTAGAGCTGGGTGTTATGGACAAAAATTAAATTACCAAAATTGATGCAACTATAAATAGAATTACAAGTTTAGAACATTCATGTGCACCACAGTTTAGAACATTCATGTGCACCACAGTTTAGAACATTCATGTGCACCAGTTTTTTTTTTTTTTTTCTTATCCTTTAAACTACTACTACTAGTTTGATGATCAATTGTCCCATTAACAATCACCCACATTAGCAAACTTATTTCATTTAAAACTTGACATTTCTCTAGTATTGGCTACTTATCGTAATGAACGATATCAGCCAAATGCCTGCAATAAGTGTTGGGTGATTGTCGGTGTCGATCATTTTTAGTTTATCATCCCAGCTCTACCATATTGCTTCCACCTTACAGATCTGCAAACATTGAAGTGGGCTTGGGCGATATAGCGTTTATATAGTACACCGGGCATTTCGAAACACCGACGGTTTGATTTCTGCCATCTTCAAATACAAACATTCGATTATTAATGAGCTCGAGGACAACAGAGGATTTGATTCTGATTCTATCACCTACACAGCTATCCTCCAATCACAATGATTATCCAACTATTGGCTTTTATTTTAATTTTAATGAAATTCCATACATTTTGAAGGATACAAATTCAACTGTGTTACAAAAATCGAACTCTAAATTCTCAAACTAAATAAATACTGCAATTCCAACCACAAAATGTATTTCCCTTGACTTTAAGCCTCAGAATACAGCTTGCCCAGCGAACAGCTAAATGGTTGTTTTTGACTTTGTTATCATTCTATTCGAGGCTCCACGTGTTGTCATGGAAAATATGAACGTCATTTCCAACAACCAATGAGCAACTCCGCTATAAATCCAGCTGCATATTGAACGTTGAGGTTGCCAGAAGCCAGTCTCTTTGGCAATGACAAGGAGTGGAATGTTAGCTAAAGAGACTGGCACCCAGACTAGAGGCATTCAATCCCCTCCTGGATCAAGATCCCAGTTGCCTAAATTGTTTTGTGTGTCAAATAGCACCCTTTGTGTGCACTTCCAGTAATACCGTATACCCCAGTATGGTACAGAAACGGTCTGAAAATCTGGATACTGCCCCAAACCTACACTGAAGGGTTAAGGCCAAGGAGAGGTGGAGGAATTGGGACCAGCTGGATATGAATGTCTTAGAGATATCTTAAATCTTCAGACAGTTTATCCCCCCCCCCTCCACACAGATTAATCTTCAGCCAGTTTCTCCCCACCTTTTGAAGGCGTCCTCTAACGTTAGACATGGCGTCAGGTCGGTGGTGCGGATGATTGGGGTGACGTTTTTCCTCTCCTTGAAGAAGACGCACGAGCCCTGGATTCCACTCTTATCATCCAATAAGATCTGGACAGGGTAGGAGTCCCCTCTGACGTCCCAACAGGCTACTTCCTGAATCCCTGTGTCTGGATCGATGTCTGCAAACCTGAAGAACAGACAGATGGCATGGAGAGGGATAGTGGCTTTGGTAACTTGGCATGCAGCTAACTGAACATTTGGCACGGAGCATGGCTAGATATTTAGCCACCGCGGTTAGCTAACTAGTTAGTAGTGTCAGCTTTGGTGTCAGGACTTCTGAATGGTTTTACTAGCTAGTTAGATAGTTTGTTTATAATTCAGAGAGTATCAACCAATGCAATAACGCTACAAATGTACGATATAGGGAAACAATTTAGCAGGATTGATGTTGCATTCAAAACAACTGGGAAGTCGGGGAAAAACGAGTTCAGAGTGGGAAAAATCGTGACTGCATGATGCCAGATTTTCCAAATTCTAATTCCGAGTTGAATGACTGTTCAAAACAAATTTTCCCAATTGGAGCTAGTTTTTTCCCCAAGTTCTCAGTTGTCTTGAACGCATTGTAATCGGAGTTCGGATATTTCCTTGTTCCGAGTCATCTCGAACGCATCATGTGATGGCATTGCTAGACGAACCTCAATCACACCGACAGTGTCAATACATGTTGGTACACCTGAAGTACATTCATTTCCAATGGGACGCTGCGTTTGCCTTGCAGCGTTGCTTTGCAGAGGCAGTGCGTTCTGTTTGGTGCATATGTTGAATTTATCGAACACATGCGTCAAACTGTATGCGTAGACGGCTTGACAGAAATGGTAGCAGACGGTGAATGTTTAACTTTTGTTGCACACATATCCAGATGATGCTGCGTCCCATTTTTCGCAAAGACACTGTAGGTGTTGATCGAGGCGTAAGACAACTCCAACCTACCTGTCGACGAGCACGACATCCGCTCTCTCTTGCGGCAGCTCGTAGAAGTCGACTTCGTGGTTATATACCAAGGATTTCCAAATGAACTCTTTAGTATACGAGTCTAGATTCAGTGGGAAAGCAGGGTTCCTCTTCTCCAACCGAATCCACAGAGAGGTGATAGTAACCCCGTCCAGTCCCTCCAACGCCACTTCGTCCAGTAGTACGTCTAGCGGGTCCATGGCTAGCGCGCTAGCTCCGCTACGAATTCGTTACTCAAAGTTGTCAATAATGACCTACTACTGTACAGCTCGATATGCATTCAGAGTATCTGCATACTATTTCCTTAGCATAGTATCCTGTTCAATTAAAACCCGCAAAATTAAACGTTAAATCAAGCACATCTCACTCAGAAATGCATGTTTTCTTCGGCAGCTGAAGTTTCAACTGTGTGTTCCCTTCCTGGCGTTACACATGTCAACTTTGACCTTGTGTTGTACGTCATTCGCGTCACTCGAACGGTTGTTTCGTGAAGGACATTTCCCAATGTTCCACAGGGTGGCGTACTACTCACATTTACCTGTAAACATAAACGGAAACTGTATAATCGTCATCACAACGTTTAATTGAGGGCAATAAACTGAAATCATCACATTTTATTGCAACCGACTCCTGATATTAAAGGGCTGAGCTAGAATATGTGGTGGAATATCTTGGGACTGTCCTAAAACGGTGCACTAAACTGGAGGGTGTAAATAGTCAGCATGATTGCCTGCATACATTAGGGGCCAGTTTCCCAGACACAGATTAAGTCTTGGACATAAAAGCATGTTCAAGGGAATAGGGCAAAGATGTAGGTTTTGTAAAAATAAACAATTAGCCAAGATTGGTACCTTCTGCAGACTCAATGTATAGATTGGTACCTTAAGCAAACTCAACATATAGATTGGTACCTTTTGCAGACTCAACAAATAGATTGGTACCTTAAGCACACTCAACATATAGATTGGTACCTTTAGCGGACCCCATGTATAGATTGGTACCTTTAGCGGACTCCATGTATAGATTGGTACCTTTAGGAGACCCCATGTATAGATTGGTACCTTTAGCGGACTCCATGTATAGATTGGTACCTTTAGGAGACTAGTATAGATTGGTACCTTTAGGAGACTCCATGTATAGATTGGTACCTTTAGCGGACTCCATGTATAGATTGGTACCTTTAGCGGACTCCATGTATAGATTGGTACCTTTAGGAGACTAGTATAGATTGGTACCGTTAGGAGACTCCATGTATAGATTGGTACCTTTAGCGGACTCCATGTATAGATTGGTACCTTTAGCGGACTCCATGTATAGATTGGTACCTTTAGCGGACTCCATGTATAGATTGGTACCTTTAGGAGACTAGTATAGATTGGTACCTTTAGGAGACTCCATGTATAGATTGGTACCTTTAGGAGACTCCATGTATAGATTGGTACCTTTAGGAGACTCCATGTATAGATTGGTACCTTTAGCGGACTCCATGTATAGATTGGTACCTTTAGCGGACTCCATGTATAGATTGGTACCTTTAGGAGACTAGTATAGATTGGTACCTTTAGGAGACTCCATGTATAGATTGGTACCTTTAGGAGACTCCATGTATAGATTGGTACCTTTAGGAGACTCCATGTATAGATTGGTACCTTTAGGAGACTCCATGTATAGATTGGTACCTTTAGCGGACTCCATGTATAGATTGGTACCTTTAGGAGACTAGTATAGATTGGTACCTTTAGCAGACTCCATGTATAGATTGGTACCTTTAGCAGACTCCATGTATAGATTGGTACCTTTAGCGGACTCCATGTATAGATTGGTACCTTTAGCGGACTCAATGTATAGATTGGTAGAACTGACTACACAGAAGCAGTCATCAACATTTAGGTTTTCTAGAGCATCAATGGATCCTTATCATATAGATCCTGATGGCTCATCAACATAATGTCTCTCATCAACATAGTGATGGCCCTCGTCAACATATTGATGGCCCTCATCTGGCTCTCATCATCAACATAGTGATGGCTCTCATCTGGCGCTCATCAAAATAACAGTGTCTCTCATCAACATAACGGTGTCTCATCAACATAACGGTGTCTCATCAACATAACGGTGGCGCTCATCCACAGAACGGTGGCGCTCATCCACATAACGGTGGCGCTCATCCACATAACGGTGGCGCTCATCAACATAACCGTGGCGCTCATCAACATAACATTGGCGCTCATCAACATAACAGTGTCTCTCATCAACATAACGGTGTCTTATCAACATAATGGTGTCTCATAACATAATGGTGTCTCTCATCAACATAACAGTGTCTCTCATCAACATAACGGTGTCTCATCAACATAACGGTGTCTCATCAACATAACGGTGTCTCATCAACAGAACGGTGTCTCATCAACAGAACGGTGTCTCTCATCAACATAACGGTGTCGCTCATCAACATAAGTGTCTCTCATCAACATAACGGTGTCTCTCATCAACATAACGGTGTCTCTCAACATAACGGTGTCTCTCATCAACCTAACGGTGGCGCTCATTAACATAACGGTGTCTCTCATCAACATAACGGTGGCGCTCATCAACTTAACGGTGGCGCTCATCAACATAACCGTGTCTCTCAACATAACGGTGGCGCTCATCAACATAACGGTGGCGCTCATCAACATAACGGTGGCACTCATCAACATAACGGTGTCTCATCTTCATAACGGTGTCTCATCAACACAACGGTGGCGCTCATCAACATAACGGTGGCGCTCATCAACATAACGGTGGCGCTCATCAACATAACGGTGGCGCTCATCAACATAACGGTGGCACTCATCAACATAACGGTGTCTCATCAACATAACGGTGTCTCATCAACATAACGGTGTCTCATCAACATAACGGTGTCTCATCAACATAACGGTGTCTCATCAACATAACGGTGTCTCTACTACTCCATCAACAAGGACAGGGGTCGTATTTATTCAATGTATTTATTAACGAAGTACCTTTTTAAAAAGAAATGTACAAGTGAATCCAGCGCTCTGCAGTCTCTGTGTAGTCTGTAGTCAATAAACCTCAGAGACCGGCTGTCTGTCAACGGGTGAGGACTGAAACATAGGAAATATGGCAATGTACATATTTACATAGTGAAAAGTAGGCTTGTCCAGACCGACACGGCGTTGGTTGAAAATAATAAACAAAATGATGTAATGTTGGTTGAAAATAATAAACAAAATGATGTAATGTTGGTTGAAAATAACAAACAAAACGACAGTAATTTAAAAACAGCACCACCTATAGGCTAAAACATGTACTGACAGGTTCTATGACAATCAGTGATCTAAAGTTACGCCGGTATTAAAAAGGCACTGTTTTCACACCACCACGACTGCGGTGTCTGGGCCTGTATTCAGAAAGCTTCTCATTGTAGATTGGCTGGATCTAGGATCCCCGTCCATGTAATGTTATTCATTACGATCTAAAAAAAAAAGAAGGTTAAAACTGATCCTAGATCAGCCCCCATACTCTGTAGTGACCCTGTAAGGACTTAGTTAAATTAAATGACAATAATAATGACCGTTATAAAAAAGGACCCTTACAGCTTTCCCATTCATTTATGAGAATTACAAGGAAATGTCTCAAATGGCACCCTATTCCCTATATAGTGCACTGCTTTCAACCAGAGGCCAGTAGTGTGCTATATAGGGAATAGTGTACCATTAGGGACATCCCCCAATACTTCCAATAACATAGCATTAAATACCATTCAAGGGGGGCAATGTAGTTTACTACAAATAAAACAAACTAAAATCATGTATAATCGTAAAAGACATTCAATATAAAATAAGAACATGCTTGGAGATTATTGGACAGATATTATTGTATAAACACATTTATTTTCATCTAAAATGTTATAGTTCAGAGGGGGGAGATATAGTGGGCCACCATCTTGGATTTATAGTGGGCCACCATCTTGGATTTATAGTGGGCCACCATCTTGGATTTATAGTGGGCCGCCATCTTGGATTTATAGTGGGGGCCGCCATCTTGGATTTATAGTGGGGGCCGCCATCTTGGATTTATAGTGGGGGCCACCATCTTGGATTTATAGTGGGGGCCACCATCTTGGATTTATAGTGGGCCGCCATCTTGGATTTGGGGATGAAGTATTCCTATTGTGTATTTTACCCTCTTTGACCAGATCGGAGTACAAGTCACCTGTAGGCACTGTTTCCCCAGAAGGTGATTTAAAACCCAATACATTTCACTCCACATTATAGACTGGACTATTGGGGGCAATAGGGATAACCATGTTAATTTCTGCCATACAGACAGATACACAATAAAACAAGATATTTCACGACGGGGCTAACTGTACGGACAGAGACACAGACAGTGTACGGACACAGACAGGTTATGATGTTCTTTGGCTGTTTACATAGATCAACGCACCGTAGATCAGTTCATTGTAGAAATACAACGTACTACATAGAACATACAGTCCAAGAACCTTGACAGGGCTTGGGAGTAAAAACGGATGCTAAGACAGTTCCACCATTTTCCTCTCCTGAGAGTGTGTGGGGGGGGTGCATCCCAAATGGCACCATATACCCCATCTAGTGCACTACTTCATACCACAGCCCTAAGAACACTGGTCAAAAGTAGTGCACTAGATAGGGAACAGGGTGTCATTTGAGACACAATCTGGATTAGGGCAAGCTGCTCCTAGATCTGTGCTGTGCTATGGGGCAGCTTTTGATCTGAAACAGATACAGGCCCGGCCCTGGGACTGAGGAGAAGTTAGGGAGAGTTGCAGTACATTCACGATCGACAAGACAGTTTTCTGAATTCCAAACCAATCCAGAGCCCCTACTCCCAACCTAGGGTGTAAGGGTTAGGGTTCAACCTAGGGTGTAGGGGATAGGGTTCAACCTAGGGTGTAGGGGATAGGGTTCAACCTAGGGTGTAGGGGATAGGGTTCAACCTAGGGTGTAGGGGATAGGGTTCAACCTAGGGTGTAGGGGATAGGGTTCAACCTAGGGTGTAGGGGATAGGGTTCAACCTAGGGTGTAGGGGATAGGGTTCAACCTAGGGTGTAGGGGATAGGGATCAACCTAGGGTGTAGGGGATAGGGTTCAACCTAGGGTGTAGGGGATAGGGATCAGCCTAGGGTGTAAGGGTTAGGGTTCAACCTAGG